AAAAGTAAATGGCAAAGGGGAATAACTCCTCTCAGTAGAATACAAACTAATAGAGCCCTGGCCAGGACCAGAACACTTGACCAAATGGTCCAGATGCTCAAAAATCTGGTAAAAATTCCCTTCCTTATAAAAACTTTTACTCTGTTTGCCTCAGATATGCCCAGGTGCGAAGAAGATTTTTAAAGAAATAAAGCATTTTTACTACAGATTCACTATATTATCAATAGAGTCCCCCCCCCCCCCAACACCAGAGCTTCTGACTCTGGGACCATACGTTTGCTCATCATAACTAATCACTTTGTTTATCTGCTTAACACTAAGGAGCGAACAGGATTATTTAATAGAATTATTGGATTTTCACTATATTATCAAGAGCCCCACCCTCACACCAGCACATCTGACCAAGGGGTCATGAAATTCACTACTCTGGAAGAAGCACTCTTGCTCATCATAACTATACACTTGGCTTCTTTGCTTTTTTAACCAGAAGCAGAAAAGAATATTTTCAAAGAATTTTTTGCTTTTTCACTTTATAATCAATAGAAGCCCCCCCCCCCCCCCCCCGAACCCTTAAACCTGGGGTCATAAAATTCACAATTTTGGAAGAGGCATCCTTGCGTATCATAACAATGTACTTAGTTTGTTTAAACAATACCCAGGGGCAGAGAAGAAGATTTTCAAAGAAACAATTCACCTTCACTATAGGATCTATATAGCCCCGCCCTAGCACCAGAACTCCTGTCCCCGGGGGCATGAATTTCACAATTTTGGAAAAGGCATCCTTGCTTATCATAACAATGTACTTAGTTTGTTTAAATAATACCCAGGTGCAGAAAAAAAGATTTTTAAAGAATTAAAACATTTTCACTTTATAATCAATAGAGCCCCGCCCTAACACCAGAACCTCTGATCCAGGGGCCACGAATTTCACAATTTTGGAAGAGGCATCCTTGCTTATCATAACTATGTATTTAATTTGTTTCAATAATACAAAGGAGTAGAGAAGAAGATTTTCAAAGAATTAATGCATTTTCACTATATAACCAATAGAGCCCCACCCTAACACCAGAACCCCTGACCCAGGGGCCATGAAATTCACAATTTTGGAAGAGGCACTCTTGCTCATCACAACTATGTACTTAGTTACTGTATTTAATACCCAGGAGCAGAGAAGAAGATTTTCAAAGAATTAATGCATTTTCACTTTATAATCAGTAGAGCCCCGCCCTAGAAACAGAACCCCTGCCCCTGGGGCCATGAAATTCACAATTTTGGAAAAGACACTCTTGCTCATTATAAATATGTACTTACATAGTTTATTTATTACCCAGGAGCAGAGAAGAAGATTTTCAAAGAACTAATGCATTTTCACTATATAATCAATAGAGCCCCGCCCTAACACCAGAACCCTTGACCCTGGGGCCATGAAATTCACAATTTTGGAAGAGGCACTCTTACTCATCATAACTATATACGTAGTTAATTTATTTGACACCCAGGAGCAGAGAAGAAGATTTTCAAAGAAATAATGCACTTTCACTATATGATCTATATAGTCCCACCCTGGGGCCAGAACCCCTGACTCTGGGGCCATGAATTTCACAATTTTGGTAGAGGGCTCAATGCTTATTACAATGATGCCAACAGTTTGACTGCTTGATGTCCAGGAGTAAAGAAGAAGATTTTTAAAGATTGCATTATTTTTGGTGGTTTTAGCCCCACCCCTCAGGCCCCAGGGGGGCAGGGACCATGAAATTCATAATTTTTGTTTCCCTTCACCCATAGATGCTATATGCCAAATTTGGTTGAAACTGGTTGAGCGGTTTCAGAGAAGAAGCTAAAAATGTTCAAATGTTAACGCACATCGCACGACGCACGCCGACGGACAAAAACGGATAGCAATAGGTCACCTGAGTGACTCAGGTGACCTAAAAATGCTAAACGTGATCTCGGGATTTCTTATTCTGTATTTATAAAAAATTTGGATTTCCAAAGCAATTTTCCTGGAGGTTCAAAAAAAAATGTGATGTACTCTTTCGTCTAAGTTTCTTAAAGAGTATGCTTTCAAAAATAAAAGGAATTTAAATATTTCTGCAAGGACATTTTTCTTACATTATGATGATTCCATGCATGTCATTTTCTCTGAGTTAATAGTTAAAGTATCTAGCGGCAAAACATAAATTATTCATCAAATAATCATTTTTGCTGGTTTTGCAAATTCTAAATAAAATTAATATTCAGTGTGTTTTTATTCCTATCAAATAAAAATTAAATGAAGCAAAATCTTTACCAATCCCCATGCATCATTTATGTCTATAATTTAAAACGATAAAATACACTTCTAATGTTCTACTTTTAGGGATAATAAATGGCGATTTTTTTATTATGATATCCATATTTAAGACTAGATGTTTTTGTGAAACATGATACCTCCGTATAGCAGCTTATGACAAAAGTAAATCTTCTCAAATGCAAGTCAAACTCCAAGATCAAAAATGTTGGTACTCAAAGAAAAGTTTTGTCCCAAGGAATATAACTGTGAAATATGAAAGCTCTAGCACCAACCGGTAAAAAATTATGGCCAAGGTTAATTTTTTTCAAAACTAAGTTAAACCCCAAGATCAAATGGTCATAAATATTTACACCCAAGGAAAGATCTTCTCACAAGGAATACACATGTGAAATATGAAGGCCCTAGCACAAACCATTCAAAAGTTATTGTCCAGATTATAGTTAAATCAAGATAAAAATGACGTAGAATCTCCACTCCATGTATCTTTTGATTGGTTGATAAATTTACCCCCCGTCGATCACTGAATAACGGATAGATATGGATTAACATATTACATATAAACAAATTATATTTTTTATTACATGAATACTTTTTAAATTGCATTATTTACAATAAAGCATATTACTTGTTGTTTATTATTTTATCAATGTGGTAACGGTATGCGGTGGTATGAGGTAGATAAGACAACACAGGCCCTGTCGGCTGTTACAAGTCCAATTTGACTGTGGTCTCTATAAAACTAAAATTAAATAAAACACAAATAGTATTTGCATCGCTTTTCATGTCCCTGAACGCTGCACTAACAGGACAGGATACATGGGAAAGGTGATTCCCTCAAGTTTCAAACTATTTGTCTTGTGTAGCTGCATTCGGGAGCTCTCCTCTGAAAATACTATTTGAAATAATGATATACTACAATTTATAAGGTTTATATCTCTCAGTTGATCCGATGCGCAAGAACATCCTCTACGTATGTACAATTTCTAAAACGAGGTAAATTATTGACAAACAAGTTGATGAAACAAGAATATCAGCAGTCTCCTTTATAGTCATCATTTCGTAAGTTCTATGGTCGATACAATGACCTTGTCAGCAAATACAATTTATCATTGAATCAAATGCTGACTGATGTTTTGCATACCAATTGTTAGGCCATTATTTACACACTGAATTGTAGATCGGATTTTTCCGTTATTTCCTGGTCATGACAAGGAGCACACGGCGGGTGTGACCGGTCGGCAGGGGATGCTCACTCCTCCATGGCACCTGATCCCACCTCTGATGTTTTGGAGGTCCGTGTTTGCTTTGCACTTATTTTGTAATGTTTAATGGACTTTTGAGCTTGAATACTGTTCGTTATCTCTATATATTTCATCACTTCTGAGGGAGAGCCAAGGTAATAGCATAAAAACTAGTTTAGAGTACAGTGACCATTATCAGATTTACACTTGCATTGTGACATCAATGTGACAAAAGGGTAGGACATAATTAAACATATAACACAATACTAACTATTTTAAGTGACCTGCAATATACTATAATGGAAATGAAAAGAAAATCCCTGTGTTGATTTAACTTTATGGAAGGAATACTCCATTTATTGTGCCGTAAACATTTGTAATCACAAAAACAATTCTTAACTTGTCGTTTACACAACTTTTGCTGTAAAAAATGAAAAAAGAAGTGATTTCAAATATGTTTCCTAATGACTTCAGTAACAATATATGACGTACAAAAAACTGAGGTCTTCATCAATTGGATTTTTTAACTGACAAGAGACATGTTAACACAGGCATCGGAACACCATGGGGTTTCGCTTAAATTAGGGATTATTCTCCCACTTTTTCGCACAAATAAATTAATTATACACAAGTAATTCAGTGTAGTCTAGATGTTAAATAACAAGATGTTTTATTTCGTGGCTTGAGAAAATTCGGTCGATTATTCCTTACTTTCATTCCCAATAAAGTCTTTAGTCAACAAAATGGCAATAATTCTTCTGCTGTAATTTTGTCTGCCTTCTTTATCCTCAGTGTAAGGTTGCGTGGACATACGGAAGCTTTTTCTCTAAACTATTTCACTGAACTGTCTTTGTTGCTGCAAGTCGCATTGATCACATCCCTGGTCTCCCTTTCGTTTCAGATGTGGAAAAGATAAATATTTTAATTTAATGATCACTAAAAAGGGAAACCTTTTTGACTAAAAGAAGTATCTCTTCCACTAAGAGATATCTCTTTTTCAGCTGAAATGTTTAGATTTAGAGATATCTCTTTTAACATTGATATCCCTAGAAGTTTAAAAGATATCTAAGTCTTTCTAACTCTTAGAGATATCTCTCTAGATATTAAAAGATCTACTTAGGAAGATATTTCTCTCTAAGTTACAGAGATATCTCTTTTGGTTAAAGAGCCCACCTTCTTAGATTTAAGAGATTTTTTTCCAATAAATAGTAAAAGGAAATTAAACACACACACACACGAATTTTTTTTTTTTTTTTTTTTTTTTTTTTTTTTTTTTTGATTCGTTGGTGTTGATAACAAACGCTGATAATGAGAGCGATAAAAGAACTAATCCGTCAACAATTCACAATCATCTTTGTCACTTGAACAACAAACTAATCCGAATCATTTACACTATTTTTGCTTTTTGTCATCATACAACGCAATCTGAACCAAATTTTTAATTCAGAAAAATAACACATTAAAGCAATGTTTGTTTGTTTTATTATATATAATTGTAATCAATTCTAAGATAAATACATCAGAGAGACATACACTTTCACGGTATTGTAACTAAAAATTGAGAAACCTTAGTATAAAACTTCTTAATGGTCTCATTGTCCAGGTACCAACAAATCCCATCACCAAATTCTTTAGTTATTGCTTTCAAAGAAATACGGTGTCCAGTTGTCTGTTTCAAATCGAAGTATGTGACAAACTCACCAGACTCCATAACCATAGCAACAAGTTTACCACTGTAGTCCTTGAAGATAGCTACAATAATAAAAACTAGATTAATTCATTTTTCTATATATTATTATCAGAGAAGGAGGGATGTCACCTATCTCAAAATGTAACAGAGACTGTTTCAAAATCAAATTTTAAAGCATAAATATCTCAGTGAAACTTTTGTAAGTTTGATTTAATTTATCTCATATTATGATTCTCTCATGACTTGCATTACTACAAATGAAATTTACAAAGCGTATAAAAGAACAGAAAATTACATAAAATTCCTTCTAAATTGGTCTTTGTTTCATTGAATTCTGAAATGAACTGGAATCCAAGTGGTGTGTTTCTGACTGAAACTGTTGTGCCATCTATACTTGTCTGGTACACAGGTGTCTTGGAGATGTCCTCCGGATTAGCGTTAAAGGTCATGTCCTTGCCATCACTAACTGTGATATTATTGATCATCTCTGTCCCAAATCGACCGCTTATACGATAATCTGGTAACACAGAGACAGAAAATATATATATCTTGTGGTATAATTTATTTGTATATAAAGAACACATAAAATTATTTTCTTCATTAAAAATCGAAATGACCACAAACTGTCGTAAAAAAGACCAATACAGTCAAAAAAATCTAATTCCTTTTAATATTGTGTCCTTGAAAATAAACAGTGTGTTAAATGATTAATCATGTTCTAAACAACATGCTGCGACCTGTCAATAATTGGAATTGTCATACCTCTTCCAGTTGATGTTAATTTTATTAAAGTGTAAATCGAGTCAGACGCCATCGGTAAATCAAAGCAAAGAGGTTTCTTTAGTCCAGGTATTGCAATCCCGAAAGATGGAACCTGAGATTTCTCTGTAAATATCATAGGTAAATATTATATTTAAAAAAAGATCAAGTTAAATATCATCGTTATACCGTTAAACTTCAGACATAATGTTTAAATTGTAGACCTTGTATCCTTGCTTTGGCTATAGAGGGTGATGACGGGCCGGTGGTGGTTGTCTCAATGGTAAAAGGGGGAAGAGTGGTTGTCTTTTTGGTAAAAGAAGGAAGGGTGCTTGTCTCTGTAGTATTGGGAGGAAGAGTGCCTGTCTCTGTAGTATTGGGAGGAAGAGTGCCTGTCTCTGTAGTATTGGGAGGAATAGTGCCTGTCTCTGTAGTATTGGGAGGAAAAGCAGTTGAGGTGGTGGTGGGTTTAGGTGAAACAAAAGTGGTGGTGGTGGTGGTTGTAAACATAATCCTTGGAGGAAATATTGAGATGCGTGGAAACTGCAACACTTGATGAAGAAATGATTTACACTATGATGATACTGTTTGTTTGTCCAGAATGAATATAATTTCACAAAACATATTTGAATATATATATATATATATATATATATATATATATATATATATATATATATATATATATATATATATATATATATATATATATATATATATATATATATATATATATATATATAACACTTACCTTGAAGAGGGTCTTTAACCCTTGATTTGATTAATTTTTTCCTCACACTCAATACATGCGATAGAACTGTATTGTGCATAAAAATATAAATATTTGAATGAAAAAAAGAAGATATCAAACAGTGTTCAATCTCAAATATATATATATATATATATATATATATATATATATATATATATATATATATATATATATATATATATATATATATATATATATATATATATATATATATATATATATATATATATATAACACTTACCTTTAGGGACTTTAACCCTTGATGTGATTACTTTGACCGCATTGAATACAGGCGAATGAACTGTATTGTGCATAAAAATATAAATATTTGAATGAAAGAAAAGATATCAAACAGTGTTCATTCTCAAATAAATCAACAAACAATACAAATCTGTGAAGAGGGCCCTGGAAATACCAGAGACGGGATCAAGTGCCTAGGAGGAGTAAGCATCCCCTGTTGACCGGTCAAACCCGCCGTGAGCCTATGTATTGATCAGATAGAAGGAATATTCTGTAGTCAAATACAGTATAATAATAAAGACCTAACAATTGCCATGAAACAAGTCAGCCAAAATACGACCCAATGACAGGAATATTTGCTAACAAGGTCATTATATCGACCATAGAATTTACGAAATGCTGACTTTAAACAAAGTTGTTGAAAACCCCGTAACACCAACTTATCTGTCAGTAGCCTGAACAATAAATAAAGGTTAAAAAAGTCATAAACTTTAAGTTTTCTTGAGAATTAAAAAATATGTATGATTAAGCAATTAAATAATACAAAGTATGCATATAAACCCCATAGTATTTTAAATGGCGGGAAGTAAAATTCGACAAACCAGACCAGAATTCGAACAAGGCCCCTCTGAGTCACTATTCAGATGCTCTGTATACTGAGTTATCTGGCCACCATTGCTCAAACCTGTCTGACTGCCACATTCCTCCCTCCATAAAGGTTTTCTACGAAGGTTCTTTCCTGGTAGGTCACGACAGGGCGCGGTACATCACCAAATGCAACCGGCGAGGAGAAAAATGCAACGGACTAGACCAGGTTTTGCATACAGGCCCCTTGAATATCTGGTCTAGTGCTCTACGAACTAAACCTACCGTATCTAGCCATTGAGCTTGTCTGACCGCCACAGTATTATTTATTTTGATTAGCTTATTTTAATGTACTCACATGCTAGGGGACCAGTGCCTAAAAAACATGTAAATATGCGAATTACATAGTAATTAGATGATCCATTTATCCACGAGTTGATGTTTGAAATATTTTCAACAGGGTTTAATTACACAACCATCATCAATTCATGAATTCTTAATTGAAATAAATGATTGCCTTGTTGATGAATGTATGTATATATATATATATTCCTGTCATAGCAATTCCTAAAACACATGAATCAATGTTTACCCACATATTTTACTTTTTAAGAATACGAACTCTTGACTTAAATAATTGCACAGATTAGAAAATAGCCAGGTTATATTTTGAAAGAAAATTAGGCTTTATGTACTCTAATACTTTGAAACTTTACCATGATACTAAACTATGAAACTTGAAAACTTTCTTTTTGGGATGTATAGTCTTCTTACAATCTCTCCAAATTGCAATTAATTTGTGAATGTACAATCTTCTTACAATCTCTCCAAATTGCAATTAATTTGTGAATGTACAAGTATTATTTCCTCTTAGTATCAGAAAATCTCAGGTAAGAATTGGAATAAATGAAATATTGAAGAATGGGTGGACTTTAGGGTCCTGAAAAAAGCTGTAAATTGAAGTTTTATGAAATGTTTATTTTTTTCCATAATATTTAAATCATCAATATCTTAACTGTGTATTCTTGCTACAGGTCTAAATTTAAAACTCTCTTTAACTCAAGGAAAACCAAATAACTATCGAAGGCATGGGGCCTGAAGATTTCTTGAATATCAATAGATAATCAGGATCACACTTTTTTCATCGTCTGAATACATAGTCAGCGCATGATTGTCGGTTGTTCTTAAGAACACTGTAGTTGTGTATTGAACAAAATAATGTTCATATTAAAAGGAGTTTAGCCGACAAACGTGCGTTCATACTTAATTTTGCAAAAACATATCCAAAACAAACTTCTCGCTTCCATTGTAATAACTTTGTTAACCTTGATCAGGTCGACCTGTTAAAAGAGTGACCTTAATGTAATTCACGTCTTACAGCGTGGTTAGTTAGTCTGTCATTCTCAGAATTTAGCAAATTAAATGATGTTATATTTTTAGTGTCCTCACAATATTAATTTACCAGAGAAATCTTTTAATTTCATATAGGCATTGCTGAAACGTACCATATACATATTCGAATTTTTATAGAGAGAGAAGGAAAGAGAGATGTCGACACTGACGCCGATCGATAGCCCGCCACCTATTTATATTGATTATGTGACCTAAAATCCACTCCGGGTACATGTCAAATTCCGGACGGCAACACAAATGTATCGTTGCTTCATTTTGATTCATGGCAACACTAATGTTCTATCTAATATAATCATGTTTACGTAAATCTTGCAATTGCTTTGTAAAATATTTGGATTCACTTCATTTACAGATCGATAGGGTTCGCAAAAAGATCCAAAATCGGGCGTTAAGTTCACTTATTCTTTAAATTCGTAGTGTCAGAACTTTGACTTACTAAAGGAAAAAACTTTGATAATTAGATTTACTAGAGTAACAAGCATTCCGGGAGTATTACATAAGCATTACTTGTTTCTTCCGGCAAGTGTAATCTGTTCCCTCTTAAAAATTAAAAAGGCCACAATCCATCAAAATCATTGAAGTGGAATAAAATACAAACTTGGTCTATATCTTATTAAGGTAGACTCACATACCAAAAATCAGCTCAATATCTGCAAGCTTTTAGAAAAAAATGTGCGGAAAACTTACTGGGACAGACTGACAGTCAGACTGAGAGACAGACAGACGGACAGACGGACGGACAGATCAGGAGGAAACCCATAATCCCCTTCTGTTTCACCTGTACGGGACTAAAAACTGGATAATTTGAATTACTATAGCAAATACTTTGATACTATAGTAAAATTTACAATAGTACTTCTTGTTTTGTATTTTAAAAGGATCGAGTTTTTTAAAGATTTGACAAAAAATGACAACCACAAAAAACAGAGCAGTAATTGTCGTTACTTATAAGAAGCTTATGTGGTATGTGTAGAGTGACACATACATGGGTCACTTTGTATGTCTCTGTCCTTCTCTGTGTCTGGAAAAAGTCGCACAGGACAAATAGTTCTGAACTTTCTTATTCTTACTATAGAAATATAAAATCTTTACCTTGTTGAACAGAGTCTGCAAGCTCTGATTCTGCTGGATTCACCTCGCTGGGGTTTGCCTTCGTCTGATCCGGCAGAGTAACCACCATGGAAGTTAATGGTGTCACAAACTGATACTGTAATAGATATAACATTAAGGGACTTTCTTATCGCTGTCTTAAAAAAATTGCCAGACTTCTAAATCAAGTGAAAAATAATTTTGTATTGTAAGCAATCGATATCTAATTCAAGACTCTGATACTTGTAAATAGTATTCTTACTTTCAGAGAAAGTTGTACAATTTTATCCTCTAGTTTCTTAATTTCTGTCGTAGAATCAAGTGCTTCTTTCTCCTCCAGTAGCTGTTTTATGGTCAAATACGCCCATAGTTTCTCCATCATACCAGGATTTCTAGTAGTGACTGGTGGCGAAGGCGTCGGAAATGGAAATGGTGGAAGTGGCCATGGTAGAATGGTGCACCACATTGGAGGCACACGAAGGACTACTTCCTGGTTTTCACTTCCGGTCCCATTAACAACCATACCTGATTGTAATTTGTTTAAATCTTTTACCTTTCCTGCAACAACCATTTCAGATCCTTTGAAGTAAGTGTTAAATTTTGTGTCGGTTACTGTACTGTCATACAATGTTCCATTAACATAGTTGAATGAGACATTTTTCATTAAAACGGTTGAAATCTCCTTGTAAAATTCTACTATCTGGAGAGCAGCATCGGCGTCTTCATAGATTTTTCTTGCAAATCCATTATTTTTTGCCGCGATTTTTTTAACAATGTTGAAGTCTGCCCCTCTTCCAAAAGCAAGGCTAAAAATGGGTAGTTCTGCTTCATTTGCTTTCTTAACATTCTCTAAGATGCGGTCTGTGTTTGTTTCGCCTACCGTGGCCTTTCCGTCAGTTAGGAAAACCAAGACCGGTGCCCGACCGTTCTCACCAGTTGTTTGGATTAGATTTCTCAATCCTTCCCTTAATGAAAGATCTATATTGGTACCTGGAAGTTCAGTTATTTCGTTATATATATTTAAAAGAGACAAGAAAGATCTCAAAACACTTCATACGGAATAATTTTTTTCCAGTATATAAAAAACAATACTCTAAAAAAAATTGTAGTATGCATTTCAAAAGGCTGCTTCTTTTCGCATTAAGTTTTGACCTACATCTAATCTATTACTTTCGTACATTGGATCTCTTCCTGGCAGCTATTTAGATTAAATTTAGCAACATATTCGATCATCATAATGGGTTACACGAGGGATTTCCCAAATAGCCATCCAATTAAATTGCAGAAGGCTGAGCTAAAATAAATCATTAATGTTACCTTAATTTCTACAAAGTCTTATACCCATTTAAAAAGAACTTGCTTACTCTCTACAGCGCTAATTACAGACACAATTGTCAAATGATTTAATTGACACTACACACTCAAACCAAGAGAGGTTCCGGTTAGTTGATATATACTGGCAACCTCATAATCTGTAAATTTAAGTTTTTTAAGTACAATGTTTAAAGTACAAACTAAAATCTATGAAGTTTTTTGTCTTTCTGTACATCTTTGATTTAACTCCAGCCCTCGGCTAATCCTTTTAAAATGATCAGCCAATGAGCTAGATTTTTTTCCTAAAGCTGAATGATTTGATCAAAGCAAAGAATCAGCTCTGTAAAGTGAATACTAAATGCTCTTAAGCTTTGATTTTATAATAATTGTCAAAAATGGGAATCATTTCTAAGAGAATTTGTGACGACTAACCTCCACTGGCGTCAGTTTGTCTTATATAATCTTTTGCATCAGTTATGTTTCCAGCTGTTGCTTGAACAAATTCGGGTTTCCAGTACAACAAAGAAAAGTCAAATGCAATGATCATAATTCTGTCTTCTGCCTTGACGTCATCTAACATCTTCAGCATGGATTCCTGAAGCTGTCTCATTTTAGTTCCAATCATTGAGCCACTCTTATCCAGCACGAACAGAATATCCATTGGCATCGGTGCAATTCCTTTGGGTGCCAGGAAATGCACAAAATAACCATCCATTACCTTTGAAAACAGAGTAAAACTCGTAAAAGATCTATATATTTCATTTTTTTTATTTGTGGATATCTGTCCCATTCCCTTTTCAGCAAGGTTTTTTTAAATTCATTCTTACATTCGTTAATTTATAACTGTATGTTTCCTTAACTTTTGTTGACAATTTCCGTAAATACTCTCGTGTGCTTTTGTGCGCATTTTGCATCAAAGATATAATCATAGCAGAGAAATAAGTCGATATTGTATCACTTTTTGCAAAATATGAATTTTAACGTACCAAAATATCCCCTGCATTGTCACTTCTGTCCACATCATACTGGACAATAAACTGGCCAGAGACCCCAGACTCTTGTTCAGCTCTGGATGGCTCGTATGAAATAAAGACTTTCGTTGAATTAATGCGATCAACTACAGCAAGCTCATTTGTACCTAAAAACAAAATAGCAAAATATGTTAAAAACGCTGACCTACTTTTAATTTTTTTAAAATGAAAATTGTTTAAGCACTGCAAAAGTGCAAGTTGCAAAGGATAACCTTGACATGATTATTTAAAATTCATTTAACTATTGTATGACATCATTTATTATTTGGTTTTTATCTCGCTTTTATCCATTTATTAGCAAACCGCCTGACTGGTATAATGACAACCATTTAAGGCACAAAGATATATGTAGTTCAAATGTCACGTGAGATTGAATGCGGTTATGAAGCTATAACCCCGAATTTTACTTATGAATAAATATTGATACATCATGTAAAAATCGGTATAAAAGTTTTACCTTCAGGACCTTCTGTAAGAAGATCACTTCTTATTGGTGGGATCTTGATAGTTGTGATGTTCCTTGACTCCTTGATTAGGACATTGATTTTCAAATCGTCAACCACTCGTCCGGGATTGATGTAAATAACATGGTTGTATAGGCCTTTAGTTCGTCTGAGAAGTTCCCGGTATGTTAACTCGAACGTCACTTTTTCTTGGGCCGCCACATTGACTTGGATTTGAAACTTGTTTGTTTCTCTAGGTCTGTGAAATTGAAGTTGTTCAATATGTTCACTCTAGTGTGAATATGAGATATATAATCATTTTATACTATTTTTGTTTTCAAAGAGAGAGGGCTATGATGTAGAAAAGTTATAAATACATTCGGTTATCAATCTGACCTTTTTTTATTTCTACATTTATGCGATAGTTATTTTCTTTTTGAATTATAAGTCATGAATAAAAATGAAGTGTAATAATTATAATTCTTACTTGGCTACAATATGACCTGCACTCTGCCCCTTTGCTTTCGCAGCCTCAAATTCCTGCTTGGCCTTCCCTTTTTCTTTTACTTTTCCATGAATTTCTGAGCCATTTATTGTCCTTGAATAACAAATAAACAGACTATTTTAGTTTGTTTTTTATCGTATATTTCACTACAAAATCAGGTAGTATTAATTTTTACATTTAAAATATTTTATTGAATGGTAAATTACAATTCAAAATTTTATCCGTTATATTGTCATACTCAATTTACAATTTGAATGCAGTGATGAAAGCCTCGTTTGGAAGTGTAAGATCGAACACAGCTTCACTAGCAACTGGTTCCTTATTGACAACTTTACTGGTTACCACAGTCTTAGCAAACCGGAAGTCGATTTCTGACGTCACTTGGAGGTAATATATCTAAACATAAATATTAACAAAAGGTTAAAAGTATTTTAAAAAGCTCTACAATAATTTTCTATTAAGTTAGAAAATGTCTGCTTTTGGAGAAACTTTTAAAATTAATCAATTCATTCACATTTCATAAGACAAGATATATTTGGACATGTATTAATTTGGTATGTAGACGCAAAATACACGCATTTCATTGACCTTTTGAATTTACTTCTGAATTTTACTTAACTAAAATCTACGCTGTTATTTATCAAAATATATTCAAAATTAATTCAAACATAAAATGGGGTTTTTAAACGATAGGAAGTTCCAGTAAATTACTGCAATTGAAATATTGTTGGTGCACAATTACGTCATAAAGCACTTCTTTAAAGAAAAAATCTTAAAAGTGACAGAGTTCTCATTGTATTACTACTATAAAAGTAGAATGTATTTCGGTGGTTTTAATTTAATTTAATTTCAGCGATCAAAAGTTATCCGTGAACTTTAAATCATCGTGATTATTGTCGATATATTCATGTAGCATTCCTTTGTCAAATGAAGTGTTTTACAGTTTAAAACCCTGTTTTCTATTTTGAAATAGTAAATCATAGAAAATCATTAGAAAAACCGAGGTAATTAACATTAGTTAAAAATAATCTACCATAATTTTCGTTGTTTTCGATGAATAATCTTTAAAATTGTAAATATTCAATAGTGAGGAAATTAGAGCGAAGTTAAAACTACAGTGAAATGTATGAACTAAGAAAGCGTAAAATACAAAATAATGAAAATCAAAGATGTTATTTGAATGACGAAATTTCAGTGTCAAAATATTTCATGAATTATTTTAATTCAATAACTATCGAAGTCTCCTTTGTAAAAGACAGAAAGGTTTAGATCGTTTTCAAAATGTTTTTTCTTATCTCGAAAAAAAATTCAGTTTTACTTGGCACAAAAATTTAAATCGTTTGTTTGTTGTTTAACGTCCCTCTCGAGAATTTTTCACTCATATGGAGACGCAAATTTAAATCGTAGGAAATCTAGTAAAATCCTACCTCTGGGGTTTTTTTTGTTGTCTGTGACGTAGCAAACCCCAACAACAGTATTCCGATAGCCACGGTTCTCTGAATTACTCCCATTTTGCAAGAGTAAAACCGACGTTCTGCAAAACAAGTTCGATTATATCTAGATAAAAATTTTGCACGTATTCAACTGCTTTTGTATAAAAAGACAGTTGTTTTGTGGAAAAACCCGCGGACATTCTGTGATGTTTCAATGTATCATACCAAGAGAAAATGTCATTTATCATTTTCGCTTAGGTAGGCTTGTTTACCATAGGTTTATAATTTGTTTTCAAAAATGCATACAGATCTATGATGAATGGTTTATGTTGAAATCTTCATTATCTTTAATAAGTAGTGATATTTTTTTCATTTTTCTTTAGAAGGATACATTTATATGCAAAAAAAAATGCCTTTTCAAAGTCAAAATTTTGGATTTTAATGTGACCTTGGATAATCTGTTTATCGACCAACTCCAGTTTATTTTTTTTTCAAGCAATATGAAGGTGAAACTGTTATTCATCACGCCTTCCCTTTAGTGAAATAAACATAATTAAGTGACCTCTTGACTTATTCATGATAATTGCAAATTAAACAACGGTATTATGCAATGCTTATATGAACCTTACAGATACAGGTAATTCCTTTACACAAGCAGTATATTTTTTATTACTCTTTTATTACCATATGAATGGAGCTGTACCAGTAATTTAACAATTGTTCTTCTGTGTAAACAAATCTTCACCTCTCACCCATCTCCTATTACTTTCCTTTTCAAGAATAACCCCACCCCACCCCTCCACAAGGCACCATGAAACGTCTTAAAACAGATCTCTTTATCATTCATTAAATTGTTTCAGTGTATAAATGGTAGTATTTCTTTGTAAAAATGACAGTGTCTTTTCTACCATAAATGTTCAATGAAGTTTCACTTTTTGCTTAATTTCCTCCGTCAAGTGTGTTCATGTTCATTAAAGGGTTGTTAACGACTTTCAAAAATTTTAGAAATTGCAGACACTAAAACTTCCGGAATCTGAAAAAAATTATAAAAGCATACTGTGGAATCATTTAAATTCGTGGTGGATCAATGTTCGTGGATTTCGTGGGTAACCCTTACCCACGAATTTACATCCCCACGAACAATTATTTTGTCAACGTACTGATTAATTAAATCTACCAAATAAACGAGCTGCCCACGAAATTACATCCCCACGAACCAATAAAATTTTGCTTGCCCACGAACATTGACCCCCCACGAATTTAAATGATTCCACAGTAATAAAAGCTTTTTCGAAAAATTGGAACTCGAGAGCACTGCATAATTATATGGGGTTTTTTCCCTGTTGGTAATACTTTTATCTTTGTTGAATTTATCAGACTTGATTATGAATATACAAATTAAAATTGTCGAACTCCCATTGAAGCTTTTATGGATTAAGGATTATACAGCTATTTTAAAACAATCTTTTATTCATGTGCGAGAAATACCCGGGAGTTTCTTGTCTTTGTTATGGCGTAACTGTTTACAATTTCACTACCGATTACTTGATCAATAAAGAGGGCTTACAGCGTGTGTGATCGGTCGTCAGGAAATACTTACTTCTCCTAGGCACCTGATCCCACTTCAGTCGATTAGAAAGGTCGGTATTTTTGCTCCATTTTAGATTTGTGTTCTTCACTAGATTCATGACATTGATAGTTTTTTTTTTTAATTATCTTCATTACTTTACATCTTGTGCTCATAATAGTGAAAGAAGAGAGTGTAACAGGTCCACCACATTTTTATCTTAGCTAAAACTCTTCTTCAAACTTGAATTTTTGCAAATGTAACACAAATACATGGAAATACGAAAAAATGCCCATTTCAAACAATAACTGCACTCATTCAAATTGTCATGCATTTTATTTTAAATGCTCCAGGGCTAAACGTGTGATGCAATAGTTTTGATACGAAATAACAAATGTTAGAAAACATTTTTGTAAACGATGATGATGAAAAGTAATTGCATCTGATGGCTTTTCCCTTCGCACAGCATAATAAATAGGCACAGTAGGATCTGTTCTGTTTTATCATAAGTCGGTGAAATGAATTACTATGCATGTTGATTTCTGGATCAGGAAAATTAGGGGCTTGAAGAACCTACATCAACCATTCACTGAATTAATAACAAATTACTGATACATGTATTTATTTCATAAGGTCATAACGATCAACTTTGGATCGAGTCAAGCCCTCTTCCCCAGACACATCAGCGGTAAATGTTTCATATAATGAAATGTTTTATACTTTGCAGATACTGCATTTTTTTAATGAAATCTTTCAGACCAACCTCCTTTCCGTGATGTGAGAAATTTACTCCTAGATTTTTGCAACTATGTGTGTGAGAAAGTGGGTGTGTGGATGTGTGTTTTTGTTCAATTATTTCTTGTTAAAGTAGGATTACTTGGTCACGGAATACTTATTACAATTCTATGAATCTTAGCTGATGTGACCTAAGGATTCTACTTGAATTCTAAAAGTCTTTGCATTCGCAAAGGCCATGGCATACTCTTAATCCCACTTGAGTTAAGGTCAGCTTTAACGAACGAATATTTTTCCGATATACTACATGTACATGTATATGTACATGTATATTCTAAATTGACAATTCATATTTGAATTCGGTCACTTAGATTTTTCAACAGGTGTTTCATGACTATTTCAGCCTCATATCTGAGTATTTCCACTCGTGTGCTGCTCTCTTTCTTTCTCTTTCTTCTGTGTAATAAAAAAAAGTTTAATTTCGCTAATTCTTGTTTTCTCAAGATCTTATTGTTTAAAATTTAAAGACTAAAACGGAGAAAAACATAAATTGTACTTAAACAAAAGAGGTTATTGGTATTTCCAGAAGGTTTTCAGTCCATTTCAACAAACTTCAAGATTGATGATTTTCTCTTTTTAAAAAAAAAAGTCAGAGTGTTTTGACGAGAAAAAGAAGAGGCAAAGTATTTTTTGAAAGAATTTTTCTTAAGATTCGTCCGTTAAGCTCTTTTAAATTTCTGATTTTCTGTTCAAAAAATTTTTTTGGAGCATTTTCTAACGCACGTTTGAATAGAGAGTGCCAGATTGGTGAATAAATTAGAATCACAAGGATTTGTTAGCTTATTTGGATCGTTTGACACAGATTATCATAACGGTAAACCGTCATTACCAAGAATAATTAATAGTACACTGTATGCTGCAAAACACATCACTGTCAAAAACACTTAGAATAAGTTTTCAACTCAGTTAATAAGAAGTATATAAGAACTGATTTAAGTATTTCTGTAACTACTTGTTTTCACTGGTTATATATTAACAATCAATCAATTTTATTTGATCTAGTTCATATGAGAGCTTCAGTGTATTCTTTGATATTTTATTGTTTACCAACACCAGAGACAGCCTTATGGCTGGTCATACATGGTCAAACTTGACAGATTTGAACAGATAGTACATATATCACTATTAAATGCATTTGATTCGAAAATCTCGATAATTTACATAAATAAACCGCAAGTACAATTAGAATTAAATTAGGGCTAATTAGAACATTCAACGTTGTTTATTTTCAGATCTAAACTTTCTGTTTTGCTTTGCGATTGTTCAACTTTCTGTTTTGCTTTGTGATTTTTCAACTTTCTGTTTTGCTTTGCGTTTGTTCAACTTTCTGTTTTGCATTGCGATTGTTCAATTTTCTGTTTTCCATTGCGATTGTTCAACTTTCTCTGGAATATGTTTTTAATTTTCCAAATGTATCCGCCATTTGTATAATAATTACTTAATTTACTGATTAGTAAAAATCATGATTGCAAATATTAGCGTCGTGAGAATAACAGTCAAAATATAACTAACAAAAAAGAATCGGTCAAGAATTTTGGAAAACTCTTGATGCGTCATTGATGTATGTGACTCCACGTCTTCATCTTCAAATCCTACAACCGATTTCCCAATCTTTGGTGGAAGTTTGTTTGGCTCTCCTATTGCCGTCACTGAATCAGAGTTTTTCTTTTTACAGCAGTTTCCGCCACATGAAATCATAGCCATGAAGCGACCAATCCGAGCCAAGCATGCAGGAACGGTCTCGTCGCCCTTGTGGTAGGTGCCAATTACAAGAATAACAAATGCAACAGAGAGAACACCCAGCGCAAGAACGATAACCAAGTAAACAGCTGAAACGAAATCAAATAAGGGTACATTAGTATTGCATGTATGAGTTAGTCTTCTGAAGGCTAAACACTTCAACAGAGAGTTCTTATATGGAAAGGTAAATGTTTTTCTTTAAAGAAGTTGTTCTTCATGATCTAAAATGTTTGTGTGTTTTTTTATCACCCAGTAAAGGATTTTATGTCACTCTCTCAAAAATATAGATAGCGAGCGTAGCGATCTCTATAGACTTGTGAAAGAAGAGAGGAAATTCGAGCTGAAATATACCACGTTCGGCAATTAATTTTTTGTTTGAAACCTGTGCATAATTCTTTTGCCACCACGATTCCGATAATGGCGAGTGCCGTGGTAGTGCCGCGGTTATCGTGAAGAATTAGATATTAAAGTAAATAAAAAATAATTGCGACTACTTTAAAATCGCATTTAATTTGTTAAAAAGCACTTTTTTAGACTTCGTTATTGAAGTGCAACTAACTTGTTCGTTTGTTTATATGTTGTTTAACGTCCCTCTCCAGAATTTTTCACTCATATGGAGACGCCACCACTTGCCGGTGGAGAGCTGCAAATTTTGTCCTATACTCGGCACTTACGGCCATTGAGCAGTGAGGGATCTTTTTCGTGTCAGCACCTACTGCGACACGGGACCTCGGTTTATACGGTCTCATCCGAAGGAGCGGTCTCCACGTCCCACAGTCTGATTCGAACCCGCGACGTAAGGATCAACTCCTTACTTCGCGACTCTAGAGCAGACGCTCTGACCACTGCGCCACGCGGGCGACTATCAAACGAAGTCTTGTAACATTACAGTCTAGACTTTACCTCGTGCAGCTTGAAGTTTTAAGGGGCGGATCAAAGTTAAAAGCATAACCTGTGTAAAGGTCTTTTATAATGCAACTGCGCTCGCCCCGACGATAGCACCGTAAAACATAGTAGTCCTAAAATCATGCGGGAAAATGACAATGCGAGACGCAGTAAACACAGGAAACGGTTCACTGAAAATTTGTTTCATCATTTGCAATTTGCAGAAGGACAACTCAGATATGTGAATTCATTAATAAATACACTAAGTAAACCGCGCTTACTATAGTACTTAACGGTCTCACGGTCGGACATATTATTTTTAATAAAACGACACATTTTAATTGGTCATTGGGCTATTGACAAATTGCAAATATTTCTTTAGATATTGTTTATGGACAAAAAAGAAGATTGTCAGTTTTTCAAGTTTGATTAATTCTAGTGAAAACCTACAGTACGGACTGAATTCTATATCTTGTATCTCCATTAATATTTCCTTGTCTATTTTATGCATCAAATTTTATCCACAGTTTGAAGGAGAAAAATAGAACTATGTTTCTTTCAAACAGTGCATCAATGAAAGTTGACTTCGGAAATTGTGCGCTGAATCTAAGAGAATTCAATGAATGGAATATTTCAGTTTATCAATAAGTCAAATTCTTACTGAGGTAGCATACGGACACAGAGGTACTGGGAATATTGTCTGAAATCAGGGTCAAGTAAACAGCATAAGCCAGCAATACGGTAAGAGAGTATCCGATTTTCTCTCCGGAGTCCACTGGGAGTTTAAAAACCATTGAAATAAGGAACGCCATTAGAACCACTGGAACCATAGTGTTGAGAGCATGAAACATAGGTCTTCTCTTTAACGTAATACAGAACGTGTGACTCGAAAATGTTTGTCCAACACGAGATATCTCTTTAGTATTTTCTCCCGCTGCATCTGTGAGCAACCATTCTCCATTTTCACTGTAAAAACTCATGTCAACCGCTGGATTGTCAAATTCAAGACTGATTTCGTTGCTTGTGTAGCCCCACGTGTTGACTTTAATCGTACATGTTTGCTCGTCAAGTGGGTAGTAGGTTATGTCGCAGCTACAGGCCACAAGGTATATTCCCGCAGGATTCCAAGTGATGTGTCCAGTACTCATTATCCTCATGGGAATGTTCTTATCGCTGATTACAGAAATGTCTTTTACTCTACAAAAAACCAAAGGTTTGGAAAGTTACTTTTAATTATACGTTAATATTCAAGATCCTGCATTTAATAAGAGGGAATAAACAATAATATGATGCTAATCTTGGTTGCAACTGCTTCATGGTGTGATAATGGAGATGAATATAGCGAATACTCTTCCACATTATTTATTTCAGTTTCCTTCACATGATATGCATTTATATAAGATAAGTTCTAATTTGATCTGAAGGCCGTCGGAACGGTGAATGCGTTGAGTGCAAACAATACTGAACAATACATGTATAATGTTTTAAAAATAAATTCGGCCAATTGGCTACAGGAGCATCCTGATGTATATGAGGAGACAGACAGAAGTAGCTGGGAACTAACACTAATGAGATGATTATCACTGTAGATAACCCCCATCCCCATCCTGAGTATGTACCAAGGTAGGGGGTGAAACACACAATGAGGGATGGTCTCGACTGAGGTCACTGGCAGTGTTTGCAGAAATTTCATCAGTACTGTATGTAAGTAACATAGCTGGAACTACCAGTGTTTGATGGGAAAGACTTGCTGACAACCAAGTATAGATTAGTGACATCTTGAAAGATATATGGAGGTTAGGGAAGACTGAACAAGGTTACGAAGGGATGAAACCCCAACTCACAGGCACTGTGAAGGGACACCGCGTACCAATCAACAACACAGAAAAATTAAATCACCCACAGAGTCTTCCGAGAGTGGGGGTGCAAGCATGATGTAACAATAACTATTCGGCTAGTTCGTACAATGGACTTAAACGGGAACAATGGCAGAAACCCAGTGTGGCAGTGAGAAGGTTTGTAGAAATTGAAAGGTTTAAAGGTATACTAAGAAAGAATTAAGTGTAGATATGGGTAGCAACAGATGGAACGCACAGTAACACTGATGAGACTATGGAGGACCACAACAAGGAAGAGCATCGCAGTGTTGAGGACCTCTTACCTAATGAGGCAACTCAGATGTACATTGAGGAAGAGCAACCAACAAAGTACAACTAGCTGCAGAGCCTTCAACAGGCAGCAGGAAACAAAGAATGGCCAACAACATATTATAAGATAAGGATTGATCTATGACGAGGACCTTGATAATATATTAGATACCACACTAACAGGAAACTGTACTATATCATCAATCATAGACACAATTGAACAAGAACGATTTGGAGTTAGTTACAACAAAGGAGAAAAGGTACTCAGAGCACTAGCAAAACCTAAGCGGCGGCAGAAATAAGGATAATGAGAGCAGAGATATATACAGTACGGTCACAAAGCAGTACAGTATGGCAAGCATGGAAGAGAAGGACTCAATGACATACGAGCAATATTAAAGTAGAAAAGAAACAACTTTCAAAGGGCAGAAAGAACTAGAAAAGCCAGAAGAAAAAGAGACCAACGTTTGTTGCCAACTCATACTGTCAGGACTATTAAACCATGCCAGAGATTGGCAGCTAGAGGTATACTGGTATCAAGACAAGAAGCTGCAGTTTCCTGACACTGTACAAAAAAATCTCAGACCCGATATGTTTTCTGGTCGCCAGGAAGCAAGAAAATAGTTAGCATAGAGTTGACACTTCCATGGGAGGAGAGGTGTAAAGAAGCCAATGTGACAAAAGGGACAAATCTTGAAGACGGCGGAGTGTTGAGACAGAGGATAGCAGACTTGGAGCTTCCTGTTGAAGTTGGTTGCAGAGAATTCCCTGCACAGTAAGTGTGGAGGCCGTTTTCTGCATTAGGAGTGACTGACCGATGCAGAAGAGTAGCAGTACAAAACTGGACCAGGCGGCAGAGAAAGCATCCTGCTGGATATGAATGACGAGAGACAGAAGTAGATGGAAACAGACGCGCAGTGTCTGATCACAACCATGTTGATTGTACAAAGAGTGTACCAAACTAGGGGTCGGAACATTCAATGAGGGATGGCCTGGGCTGGGGACATCTGCAGTGTTTGCAGTAATTCCACCAGTTCTGTATTTATATCTATCTGTTTAAAGTGAATATAATTATACCCGCACTTTCTAAAGAAAGTTCGGGTATATTGTTGTTACTCATGTCTGTCTGTCCGTCCGTCCGTCCGTCCGTCTGTCCGTCCGTCTGTCACACTCTTATTTCTCAAACTCCTCTTACATTTTACACAGTAGCCTAATCATCTTTTGGGAGGTGTTTGGTGGTGTCATGTAGATGTGCAGTAAAGTTTCGGAATTTTCATGTTCACCCTGGGGGTCAAATGGGGGTCGAAAAATGACGTTTTTTATGCAAAAAGCCCCTGGTTCCCTGAACTCCTCTTACATTTTACACAGTAGCCTAATCATCTTTTGGGAGATGGTTGGTGGTGTCATGTAGATGTGCAGTAAGGTTTCGGAATTTTCATTTTCAAGTTTTTGATGCAGTGGAAGAGCTCTCACTAATACATATCAGCATATTACTATTAGGTTTGATAAAAATATCTTGAATGATTTATTTAAAACTGAGCTTAACACTTATTTGAGAAAAGAGAGGTCAAGGTCAACGGAAAGGTTGAGGTCAAAATGTTGATGCAGTTGAAAAACTTATATCAGTATGTATTTACTATTAGCATAGAAGTTCAACAAAAATATCAGAAATGGTTTATTTAAAATGTAGATAAGGCCAAATAAAAAAATATGTGTGGTTCGGGTTACCCGACCTTCCCTATTTTATACCCCCGACCCTAAACTTTTTTTTGGCAATTTTCATATTTTTCCGGAATTTCCCCCAATTTCCATCAATGGCTCCAGTTTAAGTTTTAGTTTCAGCAATGACGGCCTCCTTGCAAAACACAGTGCAAGTGTTTAATAGTGTTAAATCCAAAGCAAGCTAGCATGTAGGTGTCCCCTACCAATATTGACTAGTATATTATCACACCACATCTAAATGCCATTTGCAAAGCAGTGATAGGTACTATTTAGAAAAAAAAATTAAGAAAATCATTTTGTTAAAAAAAAAAAAATTAAAAAAAATAAAAAAAAAAAAAAATAAAAATCCCTACCTACCTACCCTAATTTTTTTGGAAGTGTAACCGGAACCACACATATTTTTTTGTTTGGCCTAAACACTAATTTAAAAAAGTGAGGTCAAGGTCAAAGGAAAAGTCAAGGTCAAAAAAGTTGATGCAATTGATATCTCTCAGCAGTATAATTATATCAGCATATGAAGTTTGATAAATATATCTTGAATTGTTTATTCAAAACTGATCTAGACACTAATTTAAGAAAAGTAAGGTCAAGGTCAAAGGAAAATTCAAGGTCAAAAATTTTGATGCAGTTGAAAAGCTTACATCAGTATGTATCAGCATATGACGTTTTATTGAAGTTGGACATGACAAACACTATATGCCTCGGCCATATTCATGGCAGGGCATAAAAAACTTGAATCTACACTATATGAGGATGTTTCCATATCAAAATGACTAACAAGCAAATTCAAAGAATTGTGGTCCCCTGCTTTCCATGTCCTAGTGGATGGGATGCCATTATTTATGACATATTGTTTCAAATATGCACGCCCTATCATATGTCATTCAAAAGTAATCACCAAAGTTAAAATTTTTGAAAATTAGGTAAAACATCAAGGTCAAGGGGTAAAAAATCATAGCATGCTTGGAAACATATTGTTACAGGTAATGTACATGTCAAATATAAAAGTCCTATCTCTTCTCAATCAAAAGTTATAAGGAAATATAACATTTTTGAAAAGTAGGTTAAACTTCAAGGTCAATGTCACAGAGTCAAAAGTCATGATATATTTAGAAAGGTCTTGTCACAGGTAATATACATGTATAATATGAACGCCCTATCTTTTCTCTTTCAAAATGATCATTTGAAATAATGTTAAATTTTTTGAAAAGTAGGTCAAACTTCAAGGTCAAGGTCATGGGTTCAAAAATCATGGTATGTTTAGAAAGTTCTTGTAGGTAATGTACATGTGAAATATGAAATCCCTATCTCTTATTATTCAGAATTTATGACCAAGGTTAAATTTATTGTGACAGACGGACAGACTGACAAACGGACAGACTGACAGACAAATGATATTTAATGTCCCCTAGGTCCCTTTTGTGAAAACGGACGACAATAATGCCCTTGCTATTCATGAGAAGAAGATTTATGATGGAAAAAATCCCCTGCATTTTTCTATGTAAATCATTGGATCCCCATATGTGGCGCCATCCTACCCCAGTGGGTCATAATTTTAACAAATTTGAAGCTACACTGTCTATGTAAAGAAAGTTTCAACTTTTTGGGCCCAGTCAGTGGTTCTTGATAAGACTTTTTTAAAATGATACCACCAAATTTTCACTAATTCTTGATTATCCCCCCTTGAAAGAGGGTGTGACCCTTCACTTGAACAAACTTGAATCCCCTTTACCCAAAGATGCTTTGTGGCTGGGTTGGTTGAAATTGGCCCGGCGGTTCTAGTGAAGAAGACAAAAATGTGAAAAGTTTACAGGCGGACAGATGAATGACAAACAAAATGTGATCAGAAAACCAGAAAAACTCAAGTGAGCTAAAAACTGATGATCACAAGTACTTGGAAAGAGTTACAGTATTTGAAAAGCAGTTTTTTTTTTCATGCATTAATTGTTTTCAGAAGCTGAAAAGGTATGACTTGTATCCATGTTGAAAAAACTTCACATTTCAGAAAACAGTATGATTAAAAATAGTTAATCAAGGTGCTTTGAGTAGCAAAATAAGCTAAACTGGTATAGCTAATTCAACCACAGAGCTTAGTGAATTTTAAAATGCACAACCTTTTCAACTCTTAATCATTCTTAAAATATTTATATCATCATTTCTGATTCAAGGGAGAACTAGAGATATGATCAGAAGTATATCCATTGACTAATAAACATGTACATGTATATTGTGTTTTTTAAGTCATTAATGTTTGTTTGCTGTTAAATGTCCCTCTTGGGAATTTTTCACTCATACGGAGACACCACCACTCAAAAATAATGAAGACGTACAAGTCGGATTTAAGGTTAACATTCATTTTAGGAATTTTCAACAATTAATTAAGACGTAAAGAGATAACTCCTTCCCCTTGCCCCACCCCCTTCCCAGACCCCAGTTTGTTCATGTATGCAAACTAGTCTAATACTTTGGTTTGACATAAAAAAAATGTGAATACATACAAATAGTTTAATGGTCCATCTCTTTGAATGATTTTCATTCCTAATTCTAGGTTGACCCAAATTCATGAATGAAATGTCAAGTAATCTTATCATTGATGCACTTCTATTTAATATGATGTAGTCATATTATGAACAAGAGAGTGGGGATGACCTCAAGGGTTCATAACCTTAAACCATTAGATGTACATAACATAATAACACAAGAAACAAAATTATGTCTAGTCAAATGGAAAAATTTTCTACTATTTAGGAGTCGCATGATCATTTGTCATTTCAGGGACAGGGAGCGGCTAGGGAGATTGGAACCCCCCCCCCCCCCCCTGGAATTTGCAGAGTTATTTAAATAGGACTATATACTGATTTACAGAAGCAAATAAAAAATGACTTTGGATGCCCTCCCCCTTTAAAAAC